GTATAGAGCTGGTCCAGTGTTCCACGGCCAGGACGAAAACCGCACTGTTCCTCCTGAATCCGAGGTTCCACTATCGGCCGTATTCTCCTCTCCAGTACCCTGGCATAGACTTTCCCAGGGAGGCTGAGAAGTGTGATCCCCCTATAGTTGGAACACACCCTCCGGTCCCCCTTCTTAAAAGAGGAACCACCACCCCGGTCTGCCATCCCAGAGGCACTGTCCCCGACCGCCACGCGATGCTGCAGAGGCGTGTCAACCAAGACAGCCCCACAGCATCCAGAGACTTAAGGTATTCGGGGCGGATCTCATCCACCCCGGTGCCTTGCCACCGAGGAGTTTCTTGACTACCTCGGTGACCTCAGCTAGGGTGATGGACGAGTCCACCTCCGAACCCTCAGCCTCTGCTTCCTCAATGGAAGACGTGACGGCGGGATTGAGGAGGTCCTCGAAGTATTCCTTCCACCGTCCGACGACATCCCCAGTCGAGGTCAACAGCCGCCCACCCCTACTGTAAACAGCATTGGTAGGGGACTGTTTCCCCTTCTGAGGCGCCGGACAGTTTGCCAGAATTTCTTCGAGGCCAGCCGATAGTCCTTCTCCATGGCCTCACCGAACTCCTCCCAGGCCCGAGTTTTTGCCTCCACGACCACCGGGCCGCAGTCCGCTTGGCCTGCCGGTACCTGTCAGCTGCCTCCGGAGTCCCACGAGCCAACCAGGCCCGATAGGACTCCTTCTTCAGCTTGACGGCATCCTTTACTTCCGGTGTCCACCACCGGGTTCGAGGATTGCCGCCTCGACAGGCACCGGAGACCTTACGGCCACAGCTCCGAGCAGCCGCTTCGACAATGGAGGTGGAGAACATGGTCCACTCAGACTCAATATCTCCAGCCTCCTTCGGGATCTGGTCGTAGCTCTGCCGGAGGTGAGAGTTGAAGATCTTTCTGACAGGAGATTCGGCCAAACGTTCCCAGCAAACCCTCACAGTACGCTTGGGTCTGCCGAGTCCGTCCAGCCTCCTCCCCCGCCATCGGATCCAACTGACCACCAGGTGGTGATCAGTTGACAGCTCCGCCCCTCTCTTCACCCGAGTGTCCAAGACATACGGCCGCAGGTCAGATGAAACGACCACAAAGTCGATCATCGACCTACGGCCTAGGGTGTCCTGGTGCCACGTGCACTGGTGGACACCCTTATGCTTGAACATGGTGTTCGTTATGGACAAACTGTAACTAGCACAGAAGTCCAATAACTGAACACCACTCGGGTTCAGGTCGGGGGGGCCGTTCCTCCCAATCACGCCCCTCCAGGTGTCACTGTCGTTACCCACGTGAGCGTTGAAGTCCCCCAGTAGAACAACGGAGTCCCCAGTCGGGGCACTTTCCAGCACCCCTCCCAGAGACTCCAAGAAGGCCGGGTACTCTACACTGCCGTTTGGCCCGTAGGCACAAACGACAGTAAGAGACCTATCCCCGACCCGTAGGCGTAGAGAAACGACCCTCTCGTTCACCGGGGTAAACTCCAACACATGGCGGCTGAGCTGGGGGGCTATAAGCAAGCCCACACCAGCCCGCCGCCTCTCACCATGGGCAACTCCAGAGTGGTGAAGAGACCATCCTCTCTCAAGGAGTGTGGCTCCAGAACCCAAGCCATGCGTAGAGGTGATTCCGACTATCTCTAGTCGGAACCTCTCAACCTCACGCACAATCTCGGGCTCCTTCCCCGCCAGTGAGGTGACGTTCCACGTCCCTAAGGCTAGATTCCGTGTCCAGGGATCGGGTCGCCGAGGCCCCTGCCTTCGACTGCCGCCCAATCCTCTCTGCACCGGCCCTTACGGCTCCTCCTGCAGGTGGTGAGCCCACGGGAAGACGGTCCCACGTCGCTTCTTCGGGCTGAGCCCGGCCGGACCCCGTGGGGAGAGGCCCGGCCACCAGGCGCTCGCATACGAGCCCCAACCCCGGGCCTGGCTCCAGGGTGGGGCCCCGGCTGCGCCATACCGGGCGACGTCACGGTCCTTGGGTGTATTTCCTTCATAAGGGGGTTTTTGAACCGCTCTTAGTCTGACCCGTCGCCTAGGACCTGTTTGCCTTGGGAGACCCTACCAGGGGCATATAGCCCCAGACAACATAGCTCCTAGGGTCATTCGGGTACTCAAACCCCTCCACCACGTTAAGGTGGCAGTTCAAGGAGGGGACATATGATCGATCAACATATGATCGATAGGACAGAATAAGATCGGCATTTAATAATCTGTCATCCCGAGCGGAGGATGATGCGCTTGAAGCCACACATGGAGTCGAGTCCTCACTGAACAACAGTTCAAAGCACAAAGGAAATATATTGATGGACAGTGGATTATACAGTATCTACTGTATCTATACAATAGTTTATTGAGCCTTTTCTTGTAACAGTTTTAACTTTCAGTTACTGTGCGCATGAAGAACAATGATAGTGCCCTGACTGTAGTGTTGTGATCTAACTGACACCCGGTAGAAAGTATCATCATGATTAAGTTACAACAATAAAGTCCAGCAAGATAAAGTTGTTTTATGCGAAACCATAGACCTTTATCTACAGATCAAGAATAATAATAATAACATTGAATCATCTTAGAGAGAGTTTCATCGTATTGACTGTCGTAACCGAACTGCGGAAACCCTGAAGGAAGATTTGGCGAATGCAAAACGTAAGGTGCACTGTACTGAAGAGGGGGAGGGAAAAACACGATTTTTTTGAAAATATGAATCGATTTGACCTGCCAACTCGAATTTCAAATCGATCTTTTCCCAGCCCTATGTTATCATTATTAATCCGGTAAGAAAATGAGGTTAAAAATAAACACATGTGTGCAGTCATATAGTCTTCATAAAACTATCATGAGGACATCATCATAATTGTGTGATTGGAACTTTTGTTTTGTTGAATATGAACACATCACACCAGTCCTCAGGTCTTTACACTGGCCCCCAGTTACATTTAAAGTATTATGACTGGTATATATATCATTCAATGGGTTAGGACCAATATATTGCAGATATGCAAGGGTTCCCTCTAAGTATGCTTTAGATATTACCATTTAGATTTAGAATTACCATTGAGTATGAAATGTACTATACAAATAAACTGGCCTTGCCTTGTTAATCAGGCTCTCAAAAATTATATCGGCTAAAATATCGGTTATTGAATTATCAAATATAATGAATTATCGGTATCAGCCGAAATGTTCATATCTGTGTGTGTGCATCCTTAAAAACAATCGGCTAAATACACAGCAATGATGTGGAAACCAGGAGAAACACTCTGTGCCACGAATGAACAAGTTAAACAAGGCTTTCACACATCAGCATCATTCAGCATGGACATAATGTAGCAGCGCTAACTGGAGAACTAGCCGGATTAATTTACTTTATTCATTATAGGGTTCATGCTAAGTTTCAAGAACTTTTCAAGGACTTTTTAAAGTGTTTCACGCTTATTCAGCACTTCAAAACTCTAAATATGGTCCAAATTATTCATGTTACGTTTAATGCAAATTATTAATGTTCATCTTTAAACTAGTTTAAAGATGAAGGAAAACCAACACTTTGTGGCAAACAAACACTTATTTAAAAACAGACATTAATTACCACTATAACCAGTAGATGGCGGCAGAGGAGCACTAACTGACCCATTAGCTATTCGCTAGCGCTAATATATGGGGGAAAGTGGGTGAAAAGTCTCATGAAAAACTAAAACTCTTTAAATTGTAAATGATTTGCAAGTAAAGAGCGCTACTTTTATAATCACTGAAGCTGTCGGTCAGATGAGTACGGTACATTTAATAGGAGTAGTACTGTCACATTTCTGATAAACAAACATGTAATATTATTAGTAACTGTTCGGTTGCTGGAGTTTAGGCGCGACAGCTCGGTTTCAGAGTAAGGTCATCCGGTTAGGTCATGTGTTTCTTCTCCACCAATGAAAATAGCTGTACGTATCACATTGCAATATGGGTTTATTAGGTAAATGTGTGTCAAGTGCTGATGAGCATCTCGGGAATGTGACATTCCTCTGACCTCACTTAACAAACATGCGGAGACACGAACACACGGATGTGTTTAAATCAGCTGAAGAACAATCACTGTTGTGTAATTCTCAACAGCAGGAGTGTGTGTGTGTGTGTGTGTGTGTGTGGCCCTTTAAGAGCTCAGCATCTAGAAGTTTCCATCTTCCTCTTTCCCACTGTGAAATAATCTCATTATGTAATATTGTTTGAGTCATTAATCGTGGAAGGTATGAGTTTACTCTGTGTGTGTGTGTGTGTGTGTGTGTGTGTGTGATAAAGCGGATCAGGAACGCCGCTGGAGGAATGGCAGGAATTTCCATCACTTCCCTGGAAACAGTGTGTCGCTCACTGCGATCTGAACTTCAGCTTGAGATAAAGCAACTGAAACTCACACACACACACACACACACACACACACACACCGATGTGTTCTCGGTTCATATTTCCAGTTCTGATCTGGGTTTCTCAACGATCACCCCATTATTGTTGTGTTAATTATGTTGAATCAGAATAACAGCAGCATCTCTTCTCTGATGATGTGGGCGGGGCTATAACCTGTCACTCACATGAGATCAGCCAATAGCAAACCACAACCGTCCAATCAACTCCCTCAGGCACAATCAAGCCCCGCCCACATTTGATCTTGTTCCAGAAGCGCTTCCCTCAGATATACGCCACAATCGAGGAGAAAAGACAGTTACGACTGTAGTTTAGTAGTGTGATATACTCGTTAACCGATTGCTAAATGTTCAGTTGGTTACGCTAAAAGAGCGCTGAAATGTAATGTTTGTTAAACTTTTATTATTTAGACATGTTTTTTGTTTAATATAATTGAATTTATTATTTAATTTAGTCTAACCATTAAAACTAATTGTGAAAAATGTAAATTTTGAAGATTGTGTTTGATGATGTCACTGTTTTGATGATGTCATAAATGTTTTCATCGTTGTCGTTCCAGCATGTCGGACTTCCACGACTCTCTGGTGGACGTCTCCAGCGACAGCTTCTGGGAGGTACGTGTCTCACGCACGCGCATGTGTGTGTCCCGTTACCGCGTGTGTAACGCCTCTGTGTGTGTGTGTGTGTGTGTCAGGTGGGGAACTACAAGCGCGTGGTGAAGCGCGTGGACGACGGGAACCGGCTGTGCAACGACCTGATGAACTGCCTTCATGAGCGAGCGCGCATCGAGAAGAGCTACTCGCAGCAGCTGAGCGAGTGGGCCAAACGCTGGAGACAGCTGGTGGAGAGAGGTGTGTGTGACATCACTTCCCCTGAACACACACTATAAAGGGCTCCTGACGGGAGAGGGAATCATCTGAGGGAGCCTGTAATGAGGAAGAGGAAGCAGTGCTTCTCAAGACAGGGAACTGATGTAACACTTCTGAGTGTGTGTGTGTGTGTGTGTGCTATTCCCATCATCCACACATTAGTAAAGTAATAATCATGATAATTTGAGGATCTTGACGCCCCTGTTCACAAGTCGCCATCAGGGCTCCAGACTAACTTTTTACCTCGGTTGCACTGGTGCGCCTAACTTTTTTATTTAGGTGCACTCAAATTTTTTCTCGTCTCGCGTCACCTTTAACACCACAATTTCAAGGTCACCTTTTCTCACGCTCCATATGAAGAGTTCAGATGCAAAAGCCTCTAAGTGCCATTTGAAATTTTCTTCTAGAATGATAATTTTTATCAAGCTTGTATATTTAAGTTCAGTAATTTCACTTAAATGGCACTGAAGATTACCTATTAATTGTTATTTAAGTGAAATTACTGAACTTGAATATACAAGCTTGATAAAAATCATCATTAAAGAAGAAAATTTCAAATGGCATTTAGAGGCTTTTGCATCTGAACTCTTCATATATTCATATATATTATGTAAATGCTTTTATAAAAGAATAAGTACAATTTTAATGTATATAAAAATATAAATCTTTAAAAAAAAATCTAAATTTAAAGTGCTGTTTTTACATTGTTCAAGTTAGGGCAGGGTTTTGACACCAATTTCACAAATCGATTCAATATTGATTGTTTTGGATATCAGGTACAATACATGGCAAGTGTTCACAAACACTTGGTAACGCTTCCTTTTACAGTCCAGTTACCAATTAAAATACTATGTACTTATTTTAGTAACTACAATTACTGGGTAATAACTAGTACTACCCCTAAACCTACCCCTGTTCCATGTACTTACCTTATATTAGCCAGTATTTTCTAGGTAAGTACACTGTAAGTGCTGTACTGTAAAAGGAAGCGTTACCAAACACTTAAATTACACTTTTATTTATTTTTATAATAATAATGTTATATGAAATATAAACATTTAAATGGTGGCTGCATAAAAACTTGCCAGATTTTTTCAAACAACATGCATTAAATATTGAAAAACATTACAAATTGTAATGAATATGTGCATGTATTTGGCAAAATGCTGCTCTAGAGTTAATTTTTCTTGCTGGCTAACGAGTTTATGAAAATATGTAAATGTGATGTTCACTGACGTCTGTCCACGTTTGAATCACTGATTGAGTGATTCTATGTGAAAGATACGGATTTGGATAAGTTGTACTCTATCTTTAACACACTTTCAGATGCTCGTTCATGTTTATTTCGCGCTGTGACTGGTTTTATTAAGGCGGAAGAGATGCTCATGTGTGCTCCGCGTTGCTGATTCTCTTGAGCTGAACCAGAGCGATCTCACGCCACAGCGTCAATACACTATTTATGTTTTTGAATTTCGCGAGAAAATGGACGTAATTTGAAATCTGAGACTTTGTTTCATATCAATAGTAACAAAGTACAAAGATTATTGCGATTTATTGGACGAGATGCGCTTTACGCGCTACAATCTTCCATTCACCCATCGACTGAAAACAGCACAGCCCAACGGGTTCGTAAAATGAGAACTAGTTTTTGAATATGAGAGTATATTTTACCTAGCCCTAAAAAGTAGCCTACATTTTTAAAAGTTTCTTCGTCGTCTGTTTCTTCTGCTGCTGATTCTCTGGTGTTCAGGTCGTAATTTATTTCGTATCACACAGCACGGAGCATTTTACCATGCGTGCAAGGAGAACAAAAGACTCGTTTGCGGAGAGTCAGCGGATGCGATCATGCGGGAACGTTAAAATTTTAAAACGTTAACAAATTTTGGTCGCACCCTAGAGCCCTGAGTAGTATCCCCGACTGGTCTCCCGCCGAGGCTCCTGGGACACAGGTCGCTGTCAGTGAGGCCAGCAGGGGGCGCTGTGTGGGTCCTATCGCCCTATATAGGGCCAGAGAGCACACTGGGGGTGTGTGAAGCGCTCTGAGTACCACATGTAATGAATTATTAATATGATCGAGTCGGAGCGCTACATATCAAGCACTGTCGATCAGACACATCACTCGTTCTATCTAAATAAAAGACTAGATTATGAATAATAATAATCCGTGTCGTCCAATCAGAATCTAGAGGCGGAGCTCTTTCAGTTTCAACAGGAGGGATATGGAGGGAAATGAGTCACCTGATCACGTGTGTTGTGCAGTTCATGTGTTGTAGAAGTGTTTCAGATATAATCTCAGAAGAAGAGCGCATTGATTTAGTGTAGTTTTGGTTGGTCATCTAGAGTTTTTAGACATGGATAAACACGAGTCGACCGATGTCGTGTTTTCGGCAGCCTTCCTCCATCCCTGATCATATTTGCATTTTATTTCTCGCACAAATCCTTCCTAAACCTCAGTGTTAATGAATTCCACCAATGAATGCTCTCTCCTCCACAATTAACACAATCCCTGCTGTTAATTAAGTGTGTGTGTGTGTGTGAGTAATGTGTGCAGGAGTGACGTGTGATCGTTAGACTTTTCATATATGCAAAAGAGATAAACTTAAAATGTTTGACTTGCAGACAAATACTGCTGCGACTCAGAATAATGAAAAGCTAAATAGAATAATGTGTTATATATAATTATGGTAAATGCTAAAAAATTTTAACATTTGGATTTTGAATATGTGTAAATTTTGATGAATCATAAGGTTTGCCCTTTGCTCCTGGATGATGATAATGCTGACGATGACGAAGACTGCTGTAGGGTTCAGGAAGGGTCAGTTCCTCCAGAGGTCCTTATCTGGCTCTCTGATAATGTGTGTTTTGTCGGATTGGTAGCGTTCCTGTGTCCAGGTCGCGGCTCTGGTCAATCCTGCGCTCAGTGTTGTGAAAGCTGCTCGCTTCATGTCTTTGTTTAGCTAAAGGCCATATTTAAATGTGACACTGAGGAAATGAGCAGTGTTTCCCTGTCCTCTGGCTTTACTGCCTGTATTTCAGAGGTTTCCTGCCATTAGAGGCGTTTATAAGTATGAATTGTACATGTATTTCCAATCGGTGGTGATGTGTTAATGGCTACACTGAAAAAAATAATATGCTTTATCTAATCAATAAAATTGTGGCAACATATTACAATCAATATTATTAATTAAATTGTACAAATTAGAATTAATTAGAATGTTAATTTGATTAACTATTATTCAATTCTATTTTGTTCAATTTAATAAATAATATTGCTTGTAATCTGTTTCCACAATTTTATTGATTAGATAAAGTATATTCATTTTTACAGTGTAGCCATCCAAGTTTAAACAGTAGTGAAAGTGAAACCCTTAATATATACAACCGTCCACAATGTCAATGTATAAAAAAACCAGATGAAACCCGAAACATGCACTCAGAGTTCGTCATAGACGAGTCGGAGGTCATTCAGAGTCGTACGGGAGCTGCGGGGAGTTCCCACACTGTAAAAATGAATATGCTTTAGCTAATCAATAAAATTGTGGCAACAAGCAATATTATTTATTAAATTGAACAAATTAGAATTGAGTAATAGTTAATCAAATTAATATTCGAATTAATTCTAATTTGTACAATTTAATTAATAATATTGTTTGTAATATGTTGCCACAATTTTATTGATTAGATAAGCATATTATTTTTTTCAGTGCATCATATGCGTGTGCGGAAAATTCGGATTCGATTTGAGCTTTGGATTCGTTGAAATATCTGAACTTCTGCGGCTAGGCCGACCGGATGTGACGTATTCTTCTAATCAAAACTATTAGCGCGAGGCTGGAATTACCAATATTTTAACTCTTTAATGTTTTTCTGTAAACGCTCTTTCTGTAAAATGTCGTTATTATTAACTATGGTAGAAAAAAAATATTTTATAATTATTAAATGAATATTTATATTGATTAGCTCTATAAAATCTACTGTTTTTATTTGAGATGTATTGAGGGTCATTTGTTTTGTGTAGATATATTCATGCATGCGTTACAGTCATTAAAATCATTAATTGTACCGTTGTGAATATCCGAGGGTAACGGTTGCTTCACGAACAATTTTAAAGTTTCGTGCAACTGACACTAGGGGGCGAAATGCCACAATCGTATGCGAATGTCGTCTGCAGTGGAAAAACGGCTTTAGCCAACAAATTACGTCGTCATTAGCAGTTCAATGAGTTGTGTTTCCTGAAACCATAGTTCCAACGAATTCGCAAACAGCATCGCAGAGGTGTGTGTTTGAATGACAGATCTCAACCTGTGGTTAGATATATACATTATTGTTTGCATGACGTGGACTTAGAATACATACAAATGCCATTTTACGTCTTTGAGTTTGTCAAGAGATTTAAAGCGTCGTTTTTGAAGAGTGCGCATGTGCGAACGAGCTCTGGTGTGCGAGAACGAGTCTATTGAATCTGTAAACAAGGCGAAATAACGGAAAAAAATTAGAAATATTCCTCAGAATTTATAGCAAAACATCCAGCGTTAATTCTATCTCAAACAGACTCATTAAAAATAGTTATCACTCCACCACGTCATTAGCCAACGTGGCTGAACGACCAATGTGAGACGATATGGTTTCGGGAAACGGTCGTGACTAGTTTCGCATCGTACTGTGGTAGAGAAGCACGAGTTACGGCGGTGTACGGGAAACACACCCCAGATTGTGCCGAACACTCTTCCTAAAGTGTCCGGTGAGTGTGACGCCCTCTGCTGGTTAGCTGTGAGTGTGTGTGGCGCAGTATATGCGAATATCAGCGGGCCCAGTAGCGAACCCTGGGGCACTCCTGAGAAACCAGCATCTGTTGTTTCGTGCTGGGCGGTACACCGCCTCATACAGAATACCGGTGTTTATTTTTGTTTTGATATACATTTTTACTATACCGCAATATATACCGCTATGTCGCTTTAATAACGTTGGGAATGCGGCGCGACACTGTTTGAAACCAGTCTTTTCACTTTTGAAGAGTGTGTGTTACTGTGACGGTGAAGATGGATAAGTTAAACTATAATTGATATCTTCTGTCCAATTGTATTACAGTGTTTCTCATACATTGGTTCCCAATATCAACACAGCCTTTTGGGAAATCTATGTGTGGTTGGCATTGACATCGGTGAATAAACATGAGCACTGCACAGTTCAAAGTGCTTTAATATGAATATCTTTGAAGGGAACTGACTGTCTTAGGAAAAGTTTATCTTTCCTGATAAAGCAGCGTTTATGAGCCGTCACCGCTGTTTCTGCCGCTCCTACAGCGCCCCCTGCTGGACACATCTTTGTAAAACATCATCATTTTGTGGGGTCTTGCAAACCTGTATTTAGAGCCCGACCGATAGAGGATTTTGAAGGCCAATACGATACAAATATTTTTGGGTTTTAAAATCCGATATATCTGCCGATATTTATTTTAATTAAATATTGTTGGATTTCACACACGTGTAAAAGAAAAGCTAACTTTTCTGCACAAGATACGTTTGATACTTTTTCTCTGTGTCTAAATGTTCACTCCTCTCAAGTATAACTTACATTTTACAATGCAGGGACTGTAACTAGAGATATGCGAGTTATAAATACAGTAATCATTACTTTATTTAGGCAGAAAGAGTTCATTGTGGTTTCCAAGCTCATTAATGTTAACGTTAGCGGTCTTCCACTGATGATAGTGGCGTTAGCTAGCTTTAGTCTATGATGAGCCATAATTTAGCAATAGATAACATCATACTGCAAATTGTAAAACATACATTTTCAATATAACAGGCCAAGGAGAGATGATTGAAGCGTGTTTCGACCGTTTTTATTTTATTTTTTAAATATTCATTTATCGTCCATTATAACTGCCGATACCGATATTTTGGAAAACACCTAATATCGGTCTGGCTCTACCTGTATTAATACTAGTGTGGATTTTTCGACAATATTCACTCATTTACTCACGTATTTCCTCTCTCACTCGGTAGAAAATGTGTTTAACACACTGTATAACAGGATGGATCAGTCTGAACCCCGCCTCTGTCCCCTCAGGACCCCAGTACGGGACGCTGGAGCGGGCCTGGTGCGCGCTCATGACCGAGGCCGAGAAGGTCAGCGACCTGCACATGGAGGTGAAGGCTGCTCTGAACGAGGACAACGAGAAGGTCAAGAACTGGCAGAAGGAGGCTTACCACAAGCAGATGATCGGCGGCTTCAAGGAGACCAAAGAAGCAGACGACGGCTTCCGCAAGGCTCAGAAACCCTGGGCCAAGAAGCTCAAGGAGGTACAAGACCACAGCACACACAGCATTATGGGTGTGTCCCGGCCGACTACCACAACACACCCGCAAAACACACATTTGATCAGTGCACAATCCTTTCAGGAAGATCTGTGAACTGATTTACTAAACCAGCTGGGCTGAAGTCTTTCCACTTGCTGTTCCTTAAAGATTCATATAAGAGATTCTACTGCTTATTGCGTTAAAACTATCTTAAACAGCTTTAACCCTTATGCTGCATTAGGGACATTTTTGCTCTTTTGCAGTTTAATTTCTTTGACCATTTTGGCTGTTTTAATGCAAATGGTATGAAATTTGGCAAAATTGTGACTTTTTGGATACATGTAAAAAATGTGATCCCATTTTGCAAAATATGTATAACACACACTGTGTAGATCAAATAGTAACACTCAGCACCATAAAGACCAAAAATGGCCCATTGAAACCCATTAAAACGTTGTTTAAATCAGTAATACATGAAACATGATTTTTGCACAAACATCCTTTCATTTTGAAGCAAAAGCATTATATTTGCATTATATAGTGATGACGTCACTACATATTTATTCCCTATGGGTGGAAATGCACCTTATTTTAGGCAATAGGCAATGTTTAATAGGTGTAGGTGGCCATTTTTGTGGGATTTTTTGCAAAGTGGGACTGTGATAATCCAAATCTAAAGTTTTCTCTTTGCATTTAGTTTATTGAAAATAATTGAATTTTTGTGTTTTTTCCTCTTATACAAATCGATGGTTTCGCAAACAAAACTGGTAATTAAAGGGTTAAAATCCTGAAATTGAATACATTTTTGGTAGTTATGATGAGGACTGATGCTGGTTAAAAGATTTAACTTGGTAAAAGTGGAAAATAATAATAATATATAATATTTTAGGCAATGTTTAATATGTGGCCATTTTTGGTCCTTAATGCACTCAACGGTGTTAAAAATCTAATGCAGCACAAGGGTTAAAATCTTCTTACTCTGATTCCTTAAAACAAAATCTTTATTGAAATAATTCATCATCTGCTTAATGTCCTTAATTTATTTTTACTTCTGATTTCGTACAAAACAACAACACTAAAATCAATGAAGAAGATCTACTTCTGATCCCTGAAGTCTTGAATGTAAATATGAAAGGCACAAGAGCGTGAATCAGCTGTAGTGCAGTCATGTGATCGCAGTGTCACATGGGTGTGCTCCTGAGGACTACATGTGCATCTTATCTGTTCTGTGAAGTGTGTAAGAAGGGTGCGTCCCAAACACATGTGCAAGGCCTTCCTCCGTGACGCTTCTGCTGGTGTTCTCTCATAACACTGCCGTGTGTGTATGAAGATGAAGATGAGGATGATGATGATTGCAGTATTGCGCTTCTCCCCCCTAAAAAGTAACTAATTGTGTAATTGCTTTTTATGAAAAAATATACTTTTACTTCTGTGTGACGTTTCCTCACCTGTGCTATGCTTGCTTATCTGTGTTTAACACATAACAACTAAAAAAAGACTAAAAACAAACAAAAAAAAGTAGTATTTTTGTCAAATATTAAGGCCCCTTCACACCAGAAGTGAAGCAAATGAGCGTCAGGCTGAAGGAGATGCACAGTACAGGAGACGACGTTCAACACTCTTATTTCTAAATCTAATCTAAAGTCATGTTTGCTTATTAGGATGGTTAAAATAGATCATTGAAGGTCAGCAGGAAAGACATGGTTAATAAAGTGAGGTTAAGTACATAAAGTATATTTGTGTAATTCAATATAGTTAATTAGAAACATTTGTATTGTTTTTATTCGTTTTGAGGAATACTGAATGTTTCCATGCAAGTGAGATGAATATAAATGCATGAAAATTCAGGTTTAGTCTAGATCAGGGGTGTCAAACTCAAACACACAGTGGGCCGAGATCAAAAAATTGCTATAGGTCAAGGGCCGGACAGGTTAAACGTTTATTGAAAACGTATTGAAACAACGTATTATTATTATTATGAACCTGAAAACAACAAGGTCTATATATTATTGCCTATAAAACAACGTTAATTAGGAAATAAAAACAATAAAATTAATAAATAAAATCAGTTTCACTAATTTCTTATGGTTGTTTACAAAAGTTATTTACTTCAAAGGAAAATCAAATGTCCAGAAATGCAAAAATAAAAGTCCACCTTTTCAAAGTTCACCTTCCTTCAAATTTGGCTGATTACTTCTGCTGAAAAATGGTGGAGTTTTGGTCTGTACTAATCTGTCACATCGGGGAAAATACCTTTTGAGTTATAGACTAGTTCATGTTTCCATGGTGACGCGTCATTGCTTGTCACGTGACACAGTGCTCCCACGTAATTTGAACCGATATACCGGCGGGCCAGCTCTAAAAATAAATACATTTTGTCATGCGGGCCAAAGATAATTTATTTGCGGGCCGGTTGTGGCCTTGAGTTTGACACATGTGCTCTAGAAATAAAATAACCACGTTTACACACACACACACACACACACACACACACACACCTCTTCGCTTTATTTCTCTCAACAGCAGAGCTGTCAGTCAATAAATGTGAATGTGTTTTTAAATTAAGTTGGATGTGTTGTAATGTGATTGCGTAACTCAAGTCCCCAGCACTGATGATGATGATGATGATGATGATGATGCGCAGGTGGATGGGATGAAGAAGACGTACCACGCCGCCTGCAAGGAGGAGAAGACGGCCGCCAGCCGAGAGAGCACCAGCAGACTGGAGAACAGCCACCCGGAGGCGCAGAAGAAGCTGCAGGAGAAGGTGGAGAAGAGCCAGCAGGAGGTGCAGAAGGTCAGTCTGAGCGAGACGAGGAGGAGGAGGAGTTACACACATACATACATGTATATCTGTAGTAGGGGTGCTAAATTTGACATTAAGATGGGTTTACATGTGTGTGTCAGAGCCGCGAGCGCTACGAGAAGGCTCTGCAGGAGCTGGAGAAGGTGACGCCGCAGTACATGGAGAACATGGAGCAGGTGTTCGAGCAGTGGCAGCAGTTCGAGGACCAGCGGCTGGCCTTCTTCAAGGAGCTCCTGCTGGGGGTCAAGCGGCACCTCGACCTCTCGGCCAATCACAAGTGAGGACACGCTGCCGTACCCAACGACTGCTTCACTCAGATCAGTGTTTCTGCAGTAAAGTAGAACAGCGTTTAATGAACACATGAGTGTTTAACGTCTCTGTCCTTCAGGTACTCGACGGTCTATCACACACTGGAGGACACCATCCAGGCAGCCGACACGCAGGAGGACCTCCGCTGGTTCCGGACCAATCACGGGCCCGGCATGCCCATGAGCTGGCCTCAGTTCGAGGTGCACACACACACACACACACACACACACACACACACACACACACACACACGCACACACACACACATATACATTTCCTCCAGTGTAGTTCCAGAGAGGTTGCCTAGCAACACATGCACACAAAACATCACAAACGGCAGTTCCGCTGAAACACTGATGTAATGCTCTCACAGGTGTGTGTGTGTGTGTGTGTGTGAAGACATTTACAACGGCTTGGAACGCAGCTCATCCAATCAGTATCAAGGACCGTTATTTAGTTATAACTGAGATACTGAGTCATTATGAAAGAGGTCTAAATATAATTATGAAGATGATCACCACATGCTAAGTCATCATTATGAGGCTAAAACTCCAGATTGAGATATCAAGTCAATATTTGGGGATAAAATTACAAATTATGTTAAAAAAAAAAAATTAACATCGAGAGATTTTCATCACAAAATGAAAAAAATCATCATTATGAGGAAAAAGTGTGAAATATGTGCTCTAATAATTGAGCATTTACATATACAGTGAGTTATAATTATGAGATAAAGTGGCGTTTGTTGAAGGGAGATATTTCGAACGTGTCGTACGGACGGCTTCTGTGACGTGTGTGTGTGTGTGTGTGTTGTAGGAGTTGTCCATGGACTTGAACCGGACGCTCAGCCGACGGGAAACTAAGAGGAAACCCACCGATGGAGTCACTCTGACAGGAATCAGTCACACCACAGAGACCACGGCCTCCAAAACCAGCAGCAGGTGTGTGTGTGTGTGTGTGTGTGTGTGGAGCACATGGATGATGACCCGAGAGATTTCTGTCTCATTGTGCCTTTCCCAGTAGAAGTGTTCACACCGGCAGTGTGTGTGTGTCGCTACTGTCTGTGCTGTGTGTGTGTGTGTGTGTGTTCCCAGTGCTGTCGCTCTCATGTTAGTGATAAGATAATATAAGGTTGACTTTAATTGGACTAGGACTTAGGCTTAATATAATCAAAGTAACATTACGCTGTTGGAGAGTGTTAGTGATGTACACTACAGCAGTGCTCAGTGCATAGACACAAGCCAAACATACCTGATAACATTATACAGTCACCACTATACTACAGTAATGATTGATTCATCTCTGCTTCACTGCTGTGAGTGACTGATGAGTGTAGGACACACTCGTGTGGAGAGGGGCGAGATAGTCCATCCTTAACCAGCTATTACTGGTCACATATGATCTATTACTGGTCACATATGATCTATTATTGGTCAGATATGATCTATTATTAGTCATATGATCTATTATTGGTCATATATGATCTATTATTGGTCATATATGATCTATTATTGGTCATATATGATCTATTATTGGTCATATATGATCTATTATTGGTCATATATGATCTATTATTGGTCACATATGATCTATTATTGGTCACATATGATCTATTATTGGTCACATATGATCTATTGGTCATATATGATCTATTATTGGTCATATATGATCTATTGGTCACATATGATCTATTATTGGTCATATGATCTATTACTGGTCACATATGATCTATTACTGGTCACATATGATCTATTATTGGTCACATATGATCTATTACTGGTCACATATGATCTATTATTGGTCAGATATGATCTATTATTAGTCATATGATCTATTATTAGTCATATGATCTATTATTGGTCAGATATGATCTATTATTAGTCATATATGATCTATTATTGGTCAGATATGATCTATTATTAGTCATATGATCTATTATTGGTCACATATGATCTATTATTGGTCACATATGATCTATTATTGGTCATATATGATCTATTATTGGTCAGATATGATCTATTATTAGCCATATGATCTATTATTGGTCACATATGATCTATTATTGGTCACATATGATCTATTATTGGTCAGATATGATCTATTATTAGTCATATGATCTATTATTGGTCAGATATGATCTATTATTAGTCATATGATCTATTATTGGTCATATGATCCATTATTGGTCATATATGATCTATTATTGGTCATATATGATCTATTATTGGTCATATATGATCCATTATTGGTCATATATGATCCATTATTGGTCATATATGATCCATTATTGGTCATATATGATCTATTATTGGTCATATATGATCTATTATTGGTCATATATGATCTATTATTGGTCATATATGATCCATTATTGGTCATATATGATCTATTATTGGTCATATATGATCTATTATTGGTCATATATGATCTATTATTGGTCACATATGATCTATTATTGGTCACATATGATCTATTATTGGTCACATATGATCTATTATTGGTCACATATGATCTATTGGTCATATATGATCTATTATTAGTCATATGATCTATTATTGGTCAGATATGATTTATTATTAGTCATATATGATCTATTATTGGTCAGATATGATCTATTATTAGTCATATGATCTATTATTGGTCACATATGATCTATTATTAGCCATATGATCTATTATTGGTCACATATGATCTATTATTGGTCACATATGATCTATTATTGGTCAGATATGATCTATTATTAGTCATATGATCTATTATTGGTCAGATATGATCTATTATTAGTCATATGATCTATTATTGGTCATATATGATCTATTATTGGTCATATGATCCATTATTGGTCACATATGATCTATTATTAGTCATATATGATCTATTATTGGTCATATATGATCTATTATTGGTCAGATATGATCTATTATTAGTCATATGATCCATTATTGGTCACATATGATCTATTATTGGTCACATATGATCTATTATTGGTCACATATGATCTATTACTGGTCATATATGATCTATTATTGGTCACATATGATCTATTACTGGTCATATGATCTATTATTGGTCACATATGATCTATTACTGGTCATATGATCCATTATTGGTCACATATGATCTATTATTGGTCATATGATCTATTATTGGTCACATATGATCTATTGGTTAATATGATCTATTATTAGTCATATGATCTATTATTGGTCATATATGATCTATTACTGGCCATATATGATCTATTATTGGTCATATATGATCTATTACTGGTCATATGATCTATTATTAGTCATATGATCTATTATTGGTCACATATGATCTATTACTGGTCATATATGATCTATTATTGGTCACATATGATCTATTATTGGTCACATATGATCTATTATTGTCTATTATCCGTGCACTTCCTCTGCTCGCATGCTTTGGAAGAAGACACTTTATATATCAGACTGTCTCTCTAATATTGCAGTGGTGAAATGTCGAGCCTTTTTTTATGAAACGTTTTCATGGCTTTCTAAACTACAGATTCAATACATTTAAGAGTAGATATGCTATTCAAGGACCAGTTTATAAAACAACACTCAATATGTGAAAATCATAGTGTGTAAGAAGAACTGGGCAGGTTTGGCATGAAGAAATGGCCTGACTTGTTTAATTCTGCAAACTGAGTTTAATGAGGTTTAAATGTGACGGTGGAGTGATATATAACTCATAAACACTAGTGTTCTTCATTACCACGTCAAGCTCCTGTCCTCTCCAGAACACACGTGTGTGTGTGTGTTTGGATGGAGACGTGAGTTAGTGAGCGCTGATGTTCAGGTAAACACAAGCCCATCTCTGCCTGGACACATCACTATTACCGCTCAAACACTCAAACTAGACCAATGAAAGACGTGTCATGTGATATACTGCCTAATTATGAGAAAGTTAAAAACACAAGATAATAATTGTCACATGATTTTGACTTTTAATCTAATAGTTCTGAATTATCAGATGTCAGAGTGTGAACCGTGCAGTCGTGAGCCAGACATCATTGTGTGTGTGTGTGTGTGTAAATATGTAAATGTGAAACCGGTTCTGTGAGTTGTGTGACAGATCCTGCCTGAGGCTGTGAGTGTCTGTTAGCACTAGCTGAGCACACAGTCTGTGTGTGTGTGTGTGTGTGTGTAACGCTGTCTCTGTGTTGTTAGCGTGACTGTAGCCAGTAGCTCAGAGGCCGTGGGCCTGAACCCGTTTGAAGACGAGGATGACGAGGATGAGGAAGAGCCGGTGGAGCAGCAGCGGCCCGAGGTCACGGCCCCACCACAGGAAGTGATGATGGTCAAGCAAACGTTGGTGACACACAGATGCTCTCCTCTCCTCCTGTCTCTGCTTGTGTGTGTGTGTGTGTGTGTGTGTCAGCATGGCTGTGAAGCTTCACTGAAAACCCCAGCACACACACACTCACTCTCTAGGGCTGTAACGATACACGATAGTAAATCAACATCGCGGTCCACGATCCTGTGTCGAGACGTGAGAAGGCACCATCCCGAAATCAGTTTAGCTGGAGCACAGAAAACAACCCAAAAGCAGCTTTAGTTTGATCATTTGCATAGTTATTACTGTTTTTGGTGTTCAGATTATACAAATGTTATTTAATAAAAATACCGAATTTTTTCCTCAAATTTTTCACCCCAAGCCCCGCCCCCGTGATAGAATCGCGATACGAATCATGGCTTCAAAAACCGTGATACAAAACGAATCATGCGTTTGGTGTATCGTTACAGCCCTCACACACACTCACACTCACGTCATGTGCGTCCTCTCCTCTCACTCTTCCCGCTCTGACGTGTGTGTGTGTGTGTGTGTGTGTGTGTCCCCTCAGTGCTACTGTGGTGGAGAAGACGCCGGTGGCCGACGGCTCGGATGAGGAAGCAGGGAATCCCTTCGCCTCCGCTAATGCTAACGCTAACGGGAACCCGTTTGAGGACGAGCCTCCCTCCCCAGCGGTGTCGGTGTGTGTGCGCGCGCTGTACGAGTACGAGGGCCAGGAGCAGGACGAGCTCAGCTTCAAACTAGGTGTGTGTGTGTGAGTAGTCCTAGCGAGCGTATAGCACTGCTGACTTCAGTGACGTGTTCAGCCGCTGTTATCCGGGAAGAGTGTAACACCAGAGAGTGTCTAAGTGAAGAGAATCTGGACTGGCTGCAGTAACGCGTCTCTGTCCATGCGGGGGCGCTCGCGGTCGAGTGCAGAATGAATGGGAGTCAATGGGGTTTATAAATCCACTTTTCTCAGGATGTAATTTGAAAGTTGCATTCAAAAGGGAGGACTAAGAAAATACACTGCATTTTTAAGTTCACTTATCTGTTCTAAAAATCCGCTCAAAACCGTGATGACGTCACACAACAGCAGAATGCTAGTACTCGTTCATTCGACTTTTGGCCTATAATTAGGGTTGGGTATCGTTTGAATTTGAACGATTCTGATTCCGATTCCTTGTTTCGATTCCGGTTCCTAACGATTCTCGATTCCGATTCTTTTAAGAGGCAGGGTCAAAAAAGTTTAGCTAACCTTGCTAACCAACGGTCTTTCTGAAGGAAATACTCCTTCTGTAAAAATACTCCTTTTGTCACAAATTTTGCATTTTGCCGAGATTTCGTTATTTTTAGAAAAGTGAAGCCACACTTTGGACCGCTGACGTAAGCTACTCATGTTCGACTCGCGCGGTTATGCCAACACTTCCGGTAGACGCTTCTTCGTTGGTGTTGTTCAGCGGTTTCTTCTTCCGCTCGGCGGACTGTGAATATCGAAACTAGGAATCGAAATTTTAACTTTTGAACGATTCCGGGAAAAACGAAAAGTTAGTCTCGGTTCCAATCGATACTCGATACCCAACCCTACTTATAATCTATATTGAACTTGCGGAATCAACAATAAAATCTGTGTTGATTTAACGACAAGCAGGTGAAAGAGACACATTTAGCCGTTTAGCCCCATAGACTCCCATTCATTCTGCTCTCGCCCGTGATCACCCCTAGTGGAATTCTAATGGAACTGCAACCAAGATGATCCACAACGGGGCTAATAGGAAGTGCCAAGGCTCTCCGTTAGACGGGCTCTAGTAACACTGGATGGAGCGATTGACCAATCAGAATCAAGCATTCCACAGAGCCGTGTAATATACGTAGACTTGACGTAGAGAGATGACACTGAGCAGTGTTAAAGTTCACGGCTCCTGAATAACACTTGAGGACAGCAGCTGGAGATCATAATAACTTGATTTATTATCATTTACAATCATTAATCCCGAGTGAACGGACCGATATCACGCTAACAGGCGTCCTCTGCTGCCACCTGCTGCCCACAGTGGGAATTCATCCGTTTCATTTTTAAATGAGTGTCAGTTTTTCTAAATCTTTTAGTTTTATAAATGGGACGATCTTTGAAGGTGTGTGTGTGTGTGTGTGTGTGTGTGTGTGCAGGAGAGGAGTTCACTAAGATCGGGGAGGAGGACGAGCAGGGCTGGTGTAGAGGACGTCTGAGCGACGGCACCGTTGGACTCTATCCTGCCAACTACGCGGAGGAGCTGCAGTGAGACCGGAGTGTGTGTGTGTGTGTGTGTGACGGCGGCCTCACACACACACACACGCCGCGGCATCATCACAGTGCCTCACACACATCAGATGCCGAGCCTAGACGATAGTTCACAGTGATCCGACTGTGACCTGCTGATTTTAAAGAGTTTTACCGATGCTGTTTGCTTTTAGGAATATAATCACACTGATCCGTCTGCACACCTGACCTCTGACCCCCAGCCCACTGAGACTGCGCTGTGTGCTTTTACGCTCATGGTAATGAGTCCGGTCTTCAGCTGGACACGTGCACTGGGCCACATGCTGTAGACACACACACACACTCCAGAACACGCTTATACTGTAGATAGAGTGTGTGTGTGTGTGTGTGTGTGTGTGTGAGTTCTCCTTCACATGCTGTGATCACTCTGAGAATGTATTGTGAATGTTGACATGAGCTGAATGTGTAAATAAGAGTCGACGCCAAAGCCTTCCGCCTCTCAGGTGGCCTTATCACAGCGTTCGTATGCGGATGCTGAGTGTGTGTGTGTGTGTGTGTGTGTGTGCTGCCATGTTCTTCACATATGTGCAGAAGCGAATCGGACCGATTGAGTTTAGCATTGCTGTACGCGTCAGCTCGAGCGCTTTGACGTTACACAACTCGGTTACACAGGTGGAGTTTATTTACTTTTGTATTTTGTCAAGCTGGCAATAAATGAACTGAATTTCCATTTTGTGGAGTCGTTTTTTAATCATTTAATCGTTTAATCGTTATAACATTTGCCTGTGTATGTTTACTATTAAAACAGAAAACATTTATATATTTATATATAAATATATATATATATATAAAATACACATATATATATATATATATATATATATATATATAAACAAATAAAAGAATGGAAGTGATTGAATGAGTTACTGCTGTTTTGCTCTCTCTCTCACACACACACACTCCTGAGCAGAAACATTGTCAGTCAGAGTTGATTCTGACCATCATGTCTTAGTCTTTTACTGTTTTCATGTGTTAATATTAGCATTACTGCTAGTGAAGTCAATTATCTTTGTCATATTTTATTTAAAACATTTTATTTATGTACACATTTTCATTTTAACCAAACAGTAATTATAATTTAGTTAATGAATTATTCGTAATTAAGTACAATATTATATATTTTAAATAATATTATGTTTATTTCTACTAAACTGTTATTATAGTAAAGTAATAGTAAACTATATTATGTTTGTTTTGCATTATTTTAAATTAAATTATTATTTATTTCTGTTTCGCTAACCAGTCCTTATAAAGTCATTTACACTGATCTATATAATTATATGTGTGTGTGTCATTCTATAAAGATTAGTGGTCATTTATTTTCATTTCGGCTGTTTTGCATGAGTTGAGCACACGTGTGTTTTCGGCCAATCAGCGCGCGCGCGGCGCATGACGTCAGCAGCGCATACGGAAGTGAAGCGCGGAAGTTCGCAGAGTGTTTCTTCACTCGCTGCGAGTTTGACGCAGAGCTGTAAACATGACGGACCCCAGTAAACACGACATCACCACGGTCCTCAAGCGACTGCGCTCCCTTCCCACTAACAAGGTGAGTGAGACCCCGAGGACGAGGCCCTGACCCGACCTCATCCAGCAGGAACACTTCTGTGACACGTCACATGTTTATATCAAACATATGGCAGATGAAGTGCGTGTTTTTGCCCGCGTCACGGTGCTTATTAAACCAACTTTACTCGTGAAAACAAGTGTACAGATGCAGACGTGGCGATCTGGTGTTCTTGCGAACGTTTAAACGAGTTTTCATGAAAACTAACTTGTACACAACAAAACAAAAAGTGGGAAAACTTCACAATGTTCGCTAAATGTGTGTTAAAACCGGTCTGTATGCAAATCAGACTTAATTTAAAGCATTATATAACATAATTAAAAGTGTCATGGACGTATTGGCTGTTATAATAAGTGTGTGTGTGTGTGTCCAGATGTGCTTCGACTGCTCCCTGAAGAACCCCAGCTGGGCGAGCATCACATACGGGGTGTTTCTCTGCATCGACTGTTCCGGGACACACCGCTCTCTGGGGGTTCACCTGTCCTTCATCAGGTACACACACACACACACACACACCAGTGGAAGCTCACACAGGACAAATACAGCAGAAAAATATAGGAGAGTAACGATGTGAGTGAGTCTAGTGTTCAGCTGAGACGCTGCGTGACTGTATGTAAACAGCGATGACGTGTCTAGTGGGCGGAGCCTAGCTGAAGACAGGAAGTGACGGTTCTGAAGTAGGAATGGAAGCTTGTTTCCGACACGGAATATAAAAACATAAATCAAGTGCAGGTTTATATCACACAATTCTGACTTTTTTTCTTGCACTTGTGCGACATAAACGCGCAAATTTTATATAATAAGTTTCAATATGTTGGACTAATACATTTTGTCCTCTATGAACTGCATATGTGAATAATATTATTCAGATGTATTGTAACATCAAATTCATGCTTTACTAGTAGGCTAATCATTGTTGCTTTCATCAGTCCAGTCTGTCCTTTTAATATACTTGTGACCATAAACGTCTGTGTTTAGCTTTAAAAGGCGTCTTTGACGGCGCTTTTCCGTAAAATTGAAGAACGTCTTTGCATTGCCTGACGCAACGAGACCTTTTTTTCCCCTTATTCCCTGTTTTCCTCCTCTTGTTTTCCCTCCCCCATGACATTCTGCTACACACCCTGAGTAGAGTGATTGCTCGAGCACTAGAGGGCGCTGTGGGGAGCCGGTGTAGGTCACATGATCATGTCACATGACAGCACTGATTGCTCTGTCTCTGCAGGTCGACGGAGCTGGACTCCAACTGGTCCTGGTTTCAGCTGCGCTGCATGCAAGTCGGCGGCAACGCCAGTGCGGTGAGTGATGAAGATGACGAAGACGATGATGAAGTCATGTGACTCTGACCATGAATGTGTGTGTGTGTGTGTGTGTTCTCCCCAGAGTGCGTTCTTCAGTCAGCACGGCTGCAGCGCCAGCGCCGCCAACATCAAATACAACAGTAGGGCGGCGCTGCTGTACCGCGAGCGCATCAAGAGTCTGGCCACGCAGGCCACGCGCCAACACGGCACCGAGGTGATGATGTCACTGATCAGCTGATCGCCATTACGATGATCGGTGTGATGGTGCTCATGTCTCTCTGTGTCTCTCTATAGCTGTGGCTGGACAATCAGGCTCCGCTCTCGCCCTCGTCTCCCGTCGACAAACACGAGGACTTCTTCACACAGCACATTCAGGTCAGCTGATGATTAATCAGTCTATCGAGCCTCGGCCTAGCAACCGTTGTCGAGCACCTTAGCAACTGATCCCATAGACATCTATTCAAAGAGATCCAAGGGTTATCTTTGGATAGAAGTGTCATATACACATGAGGGTGGGGTCATTTGACTCGGCGCAGCCAATCACCTTCACCACTTCCTAGCAACGCCCTAGCAACCGTTGTCAAGCACTCTAGCAACTAATCTTACAGACTTGTATTCAAAGACATCCAAGGGTTATCTCTGGATAGAAGTGTCATATACACATGAGGGTGGGCTCGTTTGACTCGTGGCAGCCAATCACCTTCACCACTTCCTAGCAACGCCCTAGCAACCGTTGTCGAGCACTCTAGCAACTAATCCTATAGACTTCTATTCAAAGACATCCAAGGGTTATCTTTGGATAGAAGTGTCATATACACATGAGGGTGGGGTCATTTGACTCGGCGCAGCCAATCACCTTCACCACTTCCTAGCAACGCCCTAGCAACCGTTGTCGAGCACTCTAGCAACTAATCCTATAGACTTCTATTCAAAGACATCCAAGGGTTATCTTTGGATAGAAGTGTCATATACACATGAGGGTGGGGTCATTTGACTCGGCGCAGCCAATCACCTTCACCACTTCCTAGCAACGCCCTAGCAACCGTTGTCGAGCACTCTAGCAACTAATCCTATAGACTTCTATTCAAAGACATCCAAGGGTTATCTTTGGATAGAAGTGTCATATACACATGAGGGTGGGGTCATTTGACTCGGCGCAGCCAATCACCTTCACCACTTCCTAGCCACGCCCTAGCAACCATTGGCGAGCTCCCTGGCAACCCCAAATGAAAGAGTGATATCTTCACATCTGAATGTCATCGAGGGATTGCGGTTGGTTTGCAGGGGTGTAAAGTAACGAATCACAAATACTCACGTTACTGTAATTAAGTAGTTTTTTTCAGAAATTTTACTTTTTTGAGTAAGTTTAAAATTGTGTAATTTTACTTTTACGCGAGTATATTTTAAGTGATGTATCGGTCCCATTTCCTTCACAATCACAGGAGAGACGCGCGTCACGATCTGTGCACTGCCGCGTCGCGCTCGCCATGCCACCAGATTCAGAATCAGTGCACCAGGTCGTTAACTTGAACTGCATTACTTAATAAGAAATTAGCACAGCTCGTTAATAAACAGCGTTTTTTGATTGATCCATTATATGACCCGTCTTCATTTGGCAAGTGCACTTGCGCAAAAACATTTTTCATCCTGAACTTTTTTTTTTGTGTGGATGCTGCTGATAAAACAGCTTAGCCGAGACTTCAGAGACAAAGTGTGTTTGTTTCTTTTATAAAAAGTTTCCTGGATATAACTTCCCCATTTAATGCACGATTTTCCTTACAATTTATATTATCAGCATTACAGTGTGAGTAAATGTAGCCGTGTAAAATGTAAGGGATGATGGCACCCTTCTAGAACAATGCATTTACGTTTAAATTGTAACATATTTAATAGCATGGAATAAAAGTGTGTAATTAGTGTTAGCTCACTATCTTAGCCTTTTTCAGTGAATTAGTTGAGGTAATATGATAATATTAGTGATTCTCATTTATCAAAACACTAACATTGGTAACGGTTTGGAGGGAAATTGGGTATTTTTTAAATTTTATTTAACCCATCTCTTGGTGTGTGATGCTGAACTATCATATGAGTTTCTAAAAGTTTTTGAATTCTTTGCACAGTTATGAATATTGATATTTTATGTGCAACAATACCATGCTCAGGCCCAGTGGCTTTTCGCCTAATTTTAAATGCTTTTCCCCCCAAATAATATGATTTAAATGGTGATGAGTGTACTGATTTGATGCATTTTAGAAAGATTGATGATAGATATTCTTCAATCTTTCTTACAAAGAACAAAATATAATGTGAATTACAGTATGTGCATTTTTTAAAATGTATAAATTGTAGTGCACAGTGTTTATTATGAGGGTTAGAATCCGCTACTCACTACTCTTGAGTACTTTTAAATAAGCTACTTTTTTACTCTTACTCAAGTAGTTTTTTGGACAAGTACTTTGTACTCGACTCGCACTACATTTATTGGAATGTAATGGTACTTTTACTTGAGTGTGTTTTCCCACCACTGTTGGTTTGTATCATTCATACTGACACGCTGCCTTTGGAGTACCATTATCTCAGACTGCTGCCAAGCCATTTCCTAGCAACCAAACAGAGTACCCTAGCAACTGTTTAGCTAGACCTATATCTCTGCATCCGAACATCGTAGAGACACGGGGGTTTGAACTTTTGACTAATGGTACCAAACAGGACTTCCAACATGCAACATATGCTAGCAGTGAACAGCTACGTGCTAACAGCAATTAGCTAAGTGTTAAAATACGTGATAAATAAAAGTCTAAATGTGCTAGCGTCAGATTGTCTAGCTATGTGACCAAACATGCTAAGAAAATGTTAAAAACTCCATAATAACCATTTGTGAGAACTAGCGACTTCCTAGCAACACCCTATAAACCTCCCAGAACACGCTAGCAACGCCCTAGCCACCCGATGTTTCTGTATGAATGTGTGATGCTGCTCTCATGGATCTCTTTATATATGTGTGTGTGTGTGTGTGTGTGTTTAGCTGCCCATGCTGAAGGAGGGACACCAGCTGAACACTAGCCAACAGCAGGACTCGGTCCAGGACGGGAATAATAACGGTATGATGATGATGATGATGATGTGTGTGTGGTGTTGTGTGGTGTGTCTGGACGCTGTTGGTGTTTGATGGGTGCAGGTGCAGGTGCCGCTGAGGAGGGTCCCAGTGTGGAGCATCTCAGCACATGTCCTTCATCATCTTCATCAGGTGACGCTCTCACCCCTCAGACAGACACGTACCGCTGAAATCATCATCATCATATTCATAACTCATAACCGTCCCTTACAGAGCTGCCCTCTCTGATCAAGAAGAAGCCCGCCGCCACCTCCGGCAGGAAAACCGTGAGTTTCTCACAGACAGACACGACCCTTTACTGGTAATGTTCCTCACAGCAGCGAGCCCAGTGACGCAGAGCAGGAAGTGATGTCATAAGTTCAGGGTGTTGAGCTTATGTTAAATTTGTCTTTTTCACCATGACAAATATTTGGAAACGCAACAAGTTAGGGTTAGTTATCATGAGAAGAGCTAGCACTGCCCAGTTTCAGACGTCGTTCATCCTTGTGTGTGTGTGTGTCAGGTGGGCGGCAGGAAGGCCGGTCTGGGCGCACAGAAGGTGAGCAGCCAGAGCTTCAGCACGCAGCAGAAGCGAGCTCAGGCCGTGGACAGACTCCAGGAGGAGATGAAGAGCAGCGACGCCGAGCCTCAACACCAGACGTGAGCATCTCAATTATACATCCAGAATAAGTGAAGGAACACTACAGAATGTCTTTCATAGGGAAGTAGAGAAAGTTTTATTAATTAAATTGGTTAAACGTGCTTTTGATTATTCACTTTTAATTAAACTATTAAAGTGGAATCCAGAAAATGTTGAATGGAAAGAAACATTGAATTTGGGGGAAAATGTGTACAATTATGTGTTAAATTCTATATGTTTAATTATTTGAATTAATTGGACATGCTTTTTGATTGCTAATATTTAATTTAGTGTCCAGATACATTAAATGGAAAGAAAAATCTAAGTGGAAAATTTGGAATTTGTAAAAAAACAAAAAGTGATTTCATAAGGCCTGAAGTGGGGCTTTTGTGTGTGTGTTTCTTTTACTTTTGCTAAATCGTTGATTGTATACGTTCCGTGTTTTCAGTTAGTTGCTTGACATTGCTTTGATTATTAATATTTAATTGAAATAATTTCAAATCACGCTCCAGAAAGATGAAAGTGAAAACAACAGAATCCAGAAATCTAAACTGTGAAGTGAAGTGTAGTGTTTGACAGTGGTGATGGGGAGTGTGTGTTCACCCTTCTCTCTGTGTGTGTGTGTGTGTGTGTGCTCTCAGAGGATCGTCCCTGAGCCACTCGTTTGACAGTCTGGAGCTGCAGAGGAGCGCGAGGAGGGATGAGCAGCAGATGAGTCGCCTGGACGGCAAGAGGAAGGAGCAGGCGGAGCGGCTCGGCATGGGCTTCGGTGCTCGCAGGTGTGTGTGTGTGTGTGTGTGTGTGTGTCACTGCTGAGATACCACTGTGTGTCAAATACACTTCATGATGAGAGGTCAGTGTGGGTGGGGCTGTGTTTGACCAATGAGATGTCAGTGTGGGCGGGGCTGTGTTTGACCAATGAGATGTCAGTGTGGGCGGGGCTGTGTTTGACCAATGAGATGTCAGTGTGGGCGGGGCTGTGTTTGACCAATGAGATGTCAGTGTGGGCGGGCTGTGTTTGACCAATGAGATGTCAGTGTGGGCGGGGCTGTGTTTGACCAATGAGATGTCAGTGTGGGCGGGGCTGTGTTTGACCAATGAGATGTCAGTGTGGGCGGGGCTGTGTTTGACCAATGAGATGTCAGTGTGGCGGGCTGTGTTTGACCAATGAGATGTCAGTGTGGGCGGGCTGTGTTTGACCAATGAGATGTCAGTGTGGGCGGGGCTGTGTTTGACCAATGGGATGTCCGTGTGGGCGGGGCTAATCCACCGTGTCTCCCTGTGTTCCAGCGGCCTGTCTCACTCCGTGACGGAGGACCTGCGCATCATCCAGCAAGAGGCTCCGGCTCTGAGCTCCTCCAGCAGAAGATCTCACGACGAGGAGGACAAGCGCTTCTCCTGCAGGTGACGGCTCGCTGCTGAGAGCGGTGTGTGTGTGTGTGTGTGTGTGCTCTTGTTCATGAGTGTGTCCTGCCTCTTCCCGTAGGCTCCCGGACGAGGAGTCCTCAGATCCGTTCTTCTTTCAGCAGGCTGACATGGACCAGGACACAGAGAAGTCAGTTAAAACAGTCCTGTGCTTGGCCTCAGTCCCAGCATGCCGTGCGCTGAACGCAGTGTTGTGTTCTCCCACAGGGCCGTGGTGAGGAGGACGGCCGAGCCGCAGTGTGTCTCTGATGACGCCCAGAGGAAGTTCGCCAACGCCAAGGCCATTTCATCCGACATGTTCTTCGGCAAGCAGGACTACTCTGAGGTGACGGCCGCGAGCGAGCGCTTGACATGCGTGTGATGAGCTCTGTGGTGTTGAACGCTTGCGTGTCTCCTGTTTCAGTATGAAGTGCGGGCGCGACTGGAGAATTACTCGGGCAGTTCGGCCATCAGCTCCGCGGATCTGTTTGACGAGCAGAAGAAATCCGCAGGTGTGTGTGTGTGTGTGTGTGTCTCGACTCGCAGCATGAAAGCAAAATTGACATTCTTGTTTTTCATGCAATATTGCAGTGTTTACTATAAATGATTTATTGGCGCACAGCTTTTCTTTTCTTAACTTTCTTGTAAACTCTAATTAAAGTAACTTGATGTCCTGCTCTAAGCGAAGGGTATTTCTCCATCTTGCGTGAGATTCCTATCTGAAGGGAGCGCACATGTTCGGTTCGGACGGCGGTGTTTTACTGTGCCATAAGAAGTGTTATTTTAACATCTAATACACGCTTTCAGGTTATCCTACATTAGCTTTATTTTTAACCTCTTAACTGTCACCCCCCCTTTTTTGAATAGACAAGGAAATGCTAATTTCCAACTTAAATAGTTGTAATTCAAGAATGCTTTGGAATATAGACGTAAGATTGATCTCGTTTTAAAGAAGACATTTGGCAGATTTTTCTCGAAGTGAAATAAATTAGGAAAGTGAAACAGAAAAAAAGTTATAGAAGTTGAGTTTAGAAATGTACAATGTAAAAAATGAATTTTTCATATTTTATATAAAATATATATTTTCAAAACCAGGGCTACTCTAAAACTGCAGAAAAATCAAAGCCAAAAATCTGAACAAATTTTAGGTTGATATCTCAAAAAATGAGCTTTCAGTGAGATTTAGTTTGGGCGCAGTACCGAACGCTTCCACTAGTGCACAACCAGACTCCAGCTCATATAAGGGCGTCTCCATTTCCATGTGTGTTTTGAGTGATCTGAACCATTATTTTCACAAATTTCACACAATTTATGAAGTACAAATCCTATTCAGAAGTAGTATGGGAAGTTTGGCAGATTTTGATATGAATTGAACCTCTAGGAATCACATACAAAGCACACGCATGCGCGTTATAGCTTATTGCCATAACACAAATGGTGAATCTATTTTTTTTTTTTAGTAATATTTAAAACATTTTCAGACCTTTTTTTCTAAAATAATTGAATGGATGCTATCTTTTGAACTCTTGGCATGAAATCAAACTGAGTTTTCTGACTTTTTTTCATGTTCATTGCTATTTCAAGATAAAGGTCTGAACACGCTTTATGAGTATGAAAATATTCTTGTTGCAAATTGATAAATTACGGCTCCTGTCTAAATTATTTTGAAAATCAGTCACCAAATATGGAAACTAGAGATTGTACGCTTTCAAATGATATATAGTTTGTCAATATTACTTAAGGTCTTTTCTAAGATATTATTGTTTTAAAAATATAATGGCAAGCGGTCCCACACAGTTAACAACAGAAACTGATTAAAACTGCTTAGCACCCCAAAAACCCATTTGTTCTGAAGCTCTAGGAATGCACAAAGATAATTGAGGATCCTGAATTGACATTATGATTGGTATTGTTGTGAGTTCTGCTTGAAACGATTGTAAATGTGCTGATGTGTCCCAGTGTCCGGCGGCTCGTCCCGCTTGAGTAACATGATGCCCGCTGTGCCGGACATGATGCAGCTGAAGAGCGGTGTGCGATCGGTGGCGGGAAAGCTGTCGGTCATGGCCAGCGGAGTCGTGTCCTCTATACAGGTTAGCTTCTGCTTCTGCTGAACCCGTTCATCCGTGTGGGAGCGCGCGACTAAACTCTGTGTGTTCCTGCAGGATCGCTACGGCACATGAGCTTCGCTGGAGCCGCCGCAGACGCTACCATACTGAGGGAAGGAGCTTATTATCAACCATCGCTTTGGTCTGTTTTCTTCTGTTTCTTATTTAGTCAGGCGGCATTTGGTGCGCTTGTTGAGGATTCTGTTTGTCATTTGGGAGATGTGTGCTTTGGGGACCAAATATCATCTGCTATTGAAGTGAAATGTTTGCACTCGTTTACTTTTGCACTATTCTGAGATATAAACGTGCAGTTCTTCAGCTGTTTCCTACAGTAATGCTGGTGTAGCTGTTGACTGATCCCGAGGAGGATGTCGGAGCGCCGGATGCGATGTTCTGCTCATAGAAGGGCTTTATGTGCTGTATAATATAGAGTTGATGATGATGATGATACACTACCAATGATCTGATGTGACAATCGTTTACCTGAAGCCTTATTAATCTCATTGCCATAAATATGTTTTTGTTTTTTTGTCATTTATGAACATTTGTCAAACATGAAGGTGGTTGATTTATCTGGTAAAATTGTTAAATTCAATAAAGAACTGATTTGATGAATAACTGCTTCGTGTTTCTTCTGGTCACTCAATTTTCATTTTAGAAAGAGTATTTTTAAAGTGATACTCCACTTTTTTTTGGAAATAGGCTCATTTTATCACTCCCCTAGAGTCAAACAGTTGAGTTTGACCGTTTTCGAATGTATTCAGCCGATGTCCTGATATTTAGAAGAATATCAGTTACCAGACAGTTTCTGGTCTCATTGACTTCCATAGTATATGCCGCAGGACCTCTAGACGCGCGTAAACTTGTCTTTACATTGAAATCATTCTCACCAGATGCACTATTCGCGTTTGGGGTGAACGCACCATTAGGTCCACTAAAATAAGATTTGTGCCTCTAACAAGTGCTTTCGACCTTCTTTTTAATCTGAATGGTCTGTGGAAAACTTGGTTTTGCCATAGATTTGGCGTCCCACCGTCTAGAACTCAACTGAATGCTGTTTTCAAGCACCTCCAAACTTGAAAGACCGCGGGAAACTATTTTGAAACAGGAAATGACAGAATATTTACGCACATATTTACAGCGGGTCTTTTCGTATTACCTGAGGTAAATTTTCTGAACCTTCTTACACAAGGTAAAACTCACCGTAATCGTTACTGTCATTGAAAGTAATGATTACTGAGATGGCACATTCGGACGGGACTAAAATCACAGAGAAGCTCTGCTAATAATTACTTTACCCCACCTCTCCATGTTAAACTAGTCCTGTCCGGATAGGGCTTATGACTGCAAGAATCAAGTTCCTTTGGGTGCAAAGCAAGCTAAAAATCCCCACCCCTCCACCACTGTGCTTTAATTTGGAGAGAAGGTGTTTTTGCTGATATGCTGTGCTTGGTTTTTGGCAAACGTGGTGCTGTGCATTATGACAAACATCTCCACTATGGTCTAATCTATCCATTGACATTGTTCCAGAAGTCTTTTGGTTTGTTCAAATACAATTTTGCAAACCTAAATCATTTGGTTGATAGTGTGAATGGCAAATGAGAGAGAATCTGACCGTAGTGACCGTAAATGACAATCCCTTCAGTTCTCTCTCCTCTTTTGATGGTGTGAGAGAATCTGTCCATCAGCTGAGAGTCAAACTGGAGGATTTCTGCAAAGAGGACATCAAGAAGATCTCTGACAGAGGTAAAGTCCTGGAGATCCTGCTCTCAGAAATCATCCTCCATCATCTCATATGTAGAAGATCATATTAGAAATGTCTTAGGAACAGATGCAAGGATCATTTTTTCTTGAAAAAGAGAAATCACACTCTTCATGTCTGTTGATTTCCACAGTCACTCTCACCAACATTGTGCCCAAGACCAGGAACGACTTCCTACAATGTAAGTCACTAAGAAAACAAGCAGAAAAACTCACGGAGTGTGTTGACGTTCTTCCTGTAGAAGGTGAAAATATGTAAAACATAACTGAATATTAAACACTAACAGGCATTTTCCTCAAAAACATTTAATAGCACTTAATTTCAACATTTACTCTCCTGATCAAGACCAGGAGTGTAATGCTTCCTCCCAATTCTCTGGCCACTGTAACTGATTGTGTTCCATTACAAATTCTAGATATTCCTGGATGTTTTTATCGCCACATAATTGTGTTGTCAGCCTTGACTCAGGAAAAGCACTTAACTCGCTGTCATCAACTGCAAAGCCACATTCCCTTGATCCATACCTGAAAGTTAAATTGTTTGTAAATTTATTTAGTATACACGTTATACGATGTGATTTTTGTAGTGGTGTATTTTAAACAAGCTTATTAAATCACTGTTATAAAATGCAATTTGTACAGATTTTTGATTTGCTGACCTGTGTGGTAGATGATAGAGTTCATTTGGTACCCCTCCAGGGCACATTGCAAGTCTAGAGGGCCTAATCCTGTGCTCATTCCAAAGTTCTACACATTCATCCAAGTCCGCCTGCAGAACATTTTCGAAGCAGAACTGAAGCAGGAACTGGTGTTCATTGCTGCCATTGAAGTGTCCTTCATTTCTAAGGTCCCCAAACTGAGAACTGAGCCCTAGAATACAAACGTCCACATACATCAATGACATCAAATTTGTTCTAAAATCATTTTGCGTGTTATTATGATTTATTTTTAATTGAAATTTTACAATGTACTAGTTGCAATAGTATAACTAACGCATCACTTTACTGACGTTTCTTCAATGCTCAAGAATATGAAACAAACACAAACCTTGCTTTCCTAAAGCTGGACCACCAAGATTCAATGCGTTGATTGCTCATTGATGTGCCATACATGTGACTTCTCGAGCCAGCATAGTAGTCCGTGTGGTGATGGCGGAGACTGCACTGTATTGCTGCCATTGTCCCATTTTCTGTTCCACAGTCTGTTCGTAGACACCAAGGTGTTGTACACAGGACGTGTAGTTGTGAGCAATAACCGCAGGGTCATTGTTAGTATGCCCACGTAAGCCAGAGGACATGTCTAGAAAAACCATCCGAAACCACGCCGAAACCAAATGGCTTTCGTTTATCGTACCCATCAACATGCCAAAGATAGTTCGGTCCCATGGAGTGATATGTACGCCTTACGAATCTACGACGTGTCCTCAGTTCTGTCCCTTGTGGGTTGAGTTCTTGCAGCAACCGCATAACATCATCACGTTTAACACGTAACTTGTGTTTCTGCAGAAGTGCTAACCACATTGTCCGATAGCCGAACAGCTGTCCTGGTCCACGCAGCTCTGCTCTTATAGCATTCCTTACATCGTTTATAGGCGAATAGTTATTTCTTCTGTACATACCTGCATCCTTCAGGTGTGTTTTTAAAGAGCGCAAACTCATTTTAATATTGTGGTATGTCGCCAGCATGTCCACAATCACGGCATATGAATGTCCTTCTTCAAAGTAGTGTTTATTGTATTCCATTTTCGAATTTAGCAAAACAAAGTTGATCACAAGTTTCTTACTTCCTGTAAGGCTTGATTGACAGGTGTCTCGTCCAATCAGCGATACGTTTGCCATTCTCAAAATGTACCTACCTTTTCCGTTTTCTTTGAAATGTTGTTGTGTTTTCTGAATTGTCGTTGTGTTTTTTGAATTGTTATTTTGTTTTTATAATTGTGATTTGTTTTCCACCTCTCGTCCACCGTACTACAACCAACCAGAGCAACGAAAGGCTGTAGCTGAATGAGTCAAAACTCCGAACAAATCTTCCTTTTTTTAGAATGACTTGAGTGACATTCCCTTAACTTCAAGTCCTCCAGGGTTGCGGCCAAAACAGAATCTTGTTTGTTTTCAAGTATCAGGGAAATCACCTATGGAAATCACGGCACATAACCGTCACAACTCTGCCGTCATTGTTTTAAGCCTCCCCACCAACTCTGTACACAATGGGATTGGCCTGACCAGAGATTGTTTTTTCCACTTCGAAAGCCAACGGAGAGTTGCTAGAGCACACTGGCCGCAAAATAATTTTTACTGCCACTAGGGTGCGTCTAGATTTCTAGGTTAGCTTTTTGGAGCAAAAACAACAGCTATTTGTTTGCTCGATTCAATTAACGACAGCTACCGCTTTCATATGTGATATACTGTATTTTACAATAATATTGTATTGTCGTCATACCTATGAATTATGTTAAGCTATGCTAAACGTGGTACCGCCAGACCCGGAGATGGGCTGAATGGTTTCCCAAACAGTAAAAAAAAAAATAATGTTTTACTCGAGGGGAGGTGGAAAATGAGCTTAATTCCCCAAATGGTGCTTATCGTTAGCCGAGTGCCCTGAGTTCCGAGATATACGGCTACTACTCGAATTCTGAGCTACAGTACCCTGGTTGTCGTGCGCACTCTCACGTTAGGTAGTCATCTGTGATGTGGGTAAGTTAAAAGTGAGTGTTGTTTACACAACAGCTGATGCAAGAGTAAGTTTAATGTGTCATTCTCTGTTCATTCTCGGTTTTGAAATATGTGGCAAAGCAAATAAAATGCAAAAACTGTATTACTTCTGAAAAAGTTTTTTTTATTTTATTTACAGATCTTTGACAAGGAGTGGTTGTATTTAGAAAAAAGCTGCAGCAACATGTTTTAAGTGGTCCATTTAGTCTGTTTTATATGCCCCATAATTTTCCTATAAGGGGAAATTGGTCCAGGTTCTTATAGGTTAAGCCTGAAGGACGTATTGACATACATTTTTGACAAGTATACAAATTTTTGTTAAGTCATGCTCATAAGTGTGCATATAAAAAACACAAAAAAAATCGAGCTGGGGTCATATCTACAACTTAAAATCACAAAACCTAACGGCACAGACATTGCAGTCCCTGCAAAGATTGGATCCACTATATAAGTCAATATGGGGGACCGGCAGACGGCCGAAAGGGGCGAGGCGGGCGGGCGGGTCGGTCCCGTACTGACCCCCCGGGGGGCCGACGGGAGGAGCCCGAAATTTCGGGACCCCCGAGGCAGTTTCGCAAAGGCCCCCTCGGTGGAGCCACCCTCAAAACGTCCCACGAACCCACTATTCGCCCTTCCACAGGGCGTCCGGCGACCAGCCCCCCCGCCCACTGACACGCCCCCGTCCCACGAACCCACTATTTGTCCAATAACGTACTATATTTGCCAAATGTCACGGGACCACCCCCCGCCCACTGCCGGGCCACGCCCCCGTCCCACAAACCCACTATTTGCCCAATAACCCACTATATTTGCCAAATGTCACGGGACCACCCCCTGCCCACTCCCCGGCCACGCCCCTGTTCCACGAACCCACTATTTGTTCAATAACCCACTATATTTACCAAATGTCCCGGGACCACTCCCGGGCCACGCCCCCATCCCACGAACCCACTATTTGTCCAATAACCCACTATATTTTCCAAATGTCATGGGACCACTCCCGGGCCACGCCCCCATCCCACGAACCCACTATTTGTCCAATAACCCACTATATTTTTTTACGTTTTTCCGCAGTTCATTCAATATGGTGCAATTGGACGCGGTCCCACCGGCAATCTATTGAATGGGGATTCGGGTAGTGTTTTTGA